AGTCCCCTGTGAAGAAGTATTGATTGTTAAAGTACTATTGGGAATTGTAGTTCAAGTGTCTAGGGTGGGGCAAAGGCATCTTCAAACACCTCTCAGCACCTTTGACAAACTACAGCCACCCCCCACCTCCCAATTATCTGGGTGAAGCCATGGCTGTTTAACATGGCAGCATAATGCTTTAAATGTTCAGTATGGCTAGAGCAATAGTCATGGATCGGTATTATATTATTGTGCATAACGAGGAGTAATAGAATATGTCCTATGATTTTAAAAATGAGAGTCCCACTTGTTGTTAGTCCTCTGTTTCCGATGTGCAGGTGTGAGAACTTTTGCTTATGTAGCCAAAATGGCACCACCCACAGAAAAGGCAGGGATCAGTAGATTGGGGGGGGAGGCATCAATATTTGCAGAAGTATAAAAATGATATATAATCTAAGATGTGGGGTGCAGAAGATGACCCCACAAAACAGTCCACTGAAGACCGAGCAGTGAGCATGCTCTGTGACTACAGAATGCTGGCTGATTGTTCAGGAAAAAGAAATGGAAAACTTGGTGGGAGGGTATATAAAATCATGGAGGAAGGTGAAGATTTGCTACCAGTCCATGTTCAAACCCCGACTGGTGGGACAATAATTCAATGACTTCAAAAAACAATAAAGCACAATTCTGATACCGTACATTAAATATATATATGCTGCAGTCTGTGTCTGAAATAAGCTCAAGGATGCACGATGCTTCTTTATCCAGGTTTTGCTCTTTAAAACCAGTGGCTAAACCTCCATTGGTTTGAGAGGGACTAGATCACAGCCTGAGAATTACTCTGCTTTGGATTGTGAGCGTTCATCAGCCTAGAGAGCAAAACCCCCACAAACGGCGCCTTTAAACATAACACACCACTGTGGTGCAGAGAGCAGCGCTTGAGTTATCAGCTTTTTCATTTTCACGGAGGTTATCTTTCCTGTTTATCTGATAGAACTATACACAAACCCCGTGTTATAGGTTAGCCATCACAATGACATAAATATACTGGTTTCCTACTATTGAACCAACTCAATACCTCTTGCTCTGATAAAGTGAAAAGGCAGAAAATGCGGTTAGAGAACCTAATTGTGGCGTTTGGTTCCTGTGTGGGAGTGCACTGCTCTCGCAGCAACGCAAAAAGCACATTTGTGGGTGAAAATACATACGTATAGGGTTCTGGCTCCTTTAGTGCTGTTTCAAGTACTCTGAATTTATAGTCTAGTGTGGGTGGCATCACGCCTAGTGCTTTTTCACCTGCAATCTCCCTTGCGGATTAGCAGGACATGCTGAAAATGCAGAGATTCCATACTGGCACCTTAGTTCTGCAGGGATCACCAACGTAGTGCCCACGTGCCCAAAAAGCCATCCCTGAGCCCCAGCAGCTCCCCCCACAGTAGCCTCTCAGAGAATAGGAGGTGCTCTTAGTCTTCTCTCATCCCTAGGGAGCAGGGGGTGTCCTCTGAGATCTCCTGGGCTCTGCGCCCGCCCAGTGTGATTCATAGCAGACCCCTTCCCCCACTTCAAGCTTTGGGCGAGGTTGCTTTGATCGCCTCCCTCTTGTTCCTTCTGTAGAGTTTTATTCCCTTGTTCCTGACAAAGCTCTTCACTCACCCCTTCTTCCTTGGCCGGGGGAAGGCCCTATGTTCTAGTTTGCCTTAGGTGTCAAAATGTATTGGGCCAGCCCCCTGATGCCTGGTTGGAGGGAGTGTATCTCTAGTGCCCATGTCTATTTTTCTAGCTTACAAAAAGTTGGCAACTCCTGTACTGCTGGTTCAGTTTCTACAGCACGTCAGAATAGTGAAACAGTGAAGCAGAGATAGGAAGAATTAATCGTTTCAGATGTCAGAAATGATTAATGCTTTGCTCTTTAGAGGGAGATACATTCGCGATGTAAGCATTTTATTTTATTTTACTACAGTAAGCTTTGAGGGAGATGTTGGGAGTTATGCAAGCTGTACCCTTAGTTTCACCTTCGTGTTGAGAAACTGTTATTCGTGTGCATGTATGTGCGAATACACGCTTGTGATTAAACCTTGAGAAAGGCACTATTTTCAATGACAAATTCAATTTCCATCAGTTCCAATTCTGCATTGTTTACTGATCGACGCTTTGCTACCCTTTTGTTGAAAGACTCATCAGAAAGAAACGAGACTTCATCATGTTTGCATGTGAGAGTGTAAAAGCAGCCTGCTGGATTCAGGCCAGTGGCAGCCTATCTAGTCCAGCACCCTGTTCTCACAGTGGCCAACCACATTCCTGTGGGAAGACTCCAAGTTGGATATGAACAGCCCTTTCCCCACCTGTGATGGCCAGAAATTCAGAGACATCCTGCCTTCAACAGCTCTGTTGCCTGCAAACGGTACCTGTGAAGACAAACCTATCCTTAAAGTAACACGCTTCAGCTCAGACCTCAGCTTGAGTTCTAGCACCACCTATGGATGAAATAAAATAAATCCTGACTGCTTATCTCCCAACACACAAAATAAGGCGGAATGGGATGCTTTCCCCTTCCCCAGCGATCTGCTGCAAACATCCCTTGGAAACGAAGCTTGTTAATATCAGAAAGCAGATTGCTGGCTCAAATTCTCTCAGTGAAATGGTGCAATGTGGGCTAATACAACATGGTCCTCCAAGCCCCACACAGCAAACCTCTGGTGGGCTGCACTGCATGGCTGGCTGCGCTCAGTGGGTCACATGTTGTGCTGGTGTGATCTTGTTAATTGGAGCCCCCAAATGATACATTGACTGCAGCTGCTTTTATTGCAAGTTGCAGAAATTGGAGTGACCTCTGCTTCAGGTTTTGTTTTTATCTGCCCATATAGTCAGGAACACACACAATGAAATCTGCTCATTACAGTGGTACCTTGGGTTAAATACTTAATTCGTTCGGGAGGTCTGTTCTTAACCTGAAACTGTTCTTAACCTGAAGCACCACTTTAGCTAATGGGGCCTCCCGCTGCTGCTGCACCGCGATTTCTGTTCTCATCCTGAAGCAAAGTTCTTAACCCGAGGTACTATTTCTGGGTTAGCGGAGTCTGTAACCTGAAGTGATGTAACCTGAAGCATCTGTAACCCGAGGTACCACTGTATTGTCAAACTGCCCCACCGAGTTTGTACAGTGGTGCCTTGGGTTACAGATGCTTCAGGTTATGTGATTTTGGGTTGCGCACTGCGCCGAACCCAGAAGTACTGGAACGGGTTACTTCCAGGTTTCGGTGCTCGTGCATGCACAGAAGTGCTATATTGCGCTTTGCGCATAAGCGCTGAATTGTGACCCACGCATGTGCAGACGCGGCGCTGTGGGTTGCGAACGCTGCAGGTTGCACGTGTGCCTCCCGCACAGATCCCATTCGCAACCCGAGCATCCACTGTACAGCATTGAGATACAATGTTCTGCCCCATGGCTGGCGACAGAGAGTATGCATGGAATGCCTGAAATAAGTGAGCTTACTGCACTGAAACCTGCAAATCGCAAATATAGCTTGGCTTGTGCGCAGAACGTAGCTGCCCCAGGTTACACTGCTGTTTGGCTGCAAGGGAGGACGGCACACAATTCTGGTTTATGTTGTGGTTCAAGAGCTGTTCCCTCGGGTTCCAATACAGACTATCCGATATTCAAAAAGGAGTCGACCGGCTTTTGCTTTGAGCAAAATCCCCAGGTCATGTCATCTTATTTTTATTGTTCGGCTCCTGTATCTTCAACAGGACCAAGGCAGGTTTTCCTTACCGCTTTCCAATCTTTTAGTGTAGCGGCACCTAAACTTTGGAACTCCCTGCCTATAGACATCAGACAGAACCCTTTGCAATACTTGGTTGGTGCCTGCTTAGAACATTTTCATTTGGGCAGGCCTATCCAGACATTAAGAAGTTACTGTTGTTTTTAACCATATGTTGAATATTTTCAAATATTTAACTTTTAAAAAATGTTATATATATTTTTTGTAAACCGCTTAGGTTTTTTTTACAACCAAGTGGTATATAAATTTTGTTCCTTTATCTATTCCAGTGATGGCTGGGACCCAGACAGAAAGGTCAACCCCCTACTGAGTTCTATGATGGCAACACTGAGACTGAGAAGGAAGCTGACAGCTGGTACTGGATTGGCTGTAAGGTGAAGGTTGGCTGGATGCAGATCCAGTGCTTTTGCAGCAGTGCTCCTTTCTCCCTATAGGACTAGACCTTCTGCCTATTTCCATGCACATCAAGCTACCATCAAAGATGCAGAAACGCAGCCAGTGAAAAAAATTAAAGTGTGGGACCTCCCCGCTCAAACCCTGTTTTTGGAGCGAACCCTGCAGTCTCGGATTACTTAGTCCTACCAAATTCTCTGCATAATTGCAATTACAGTACAATTTGGCATAGGATTACAGTCCAAGGCTGTGCCGTTATTTCAAAATATATTATATTATTTTGAACATGATTGTGGAAAGCCTGGGAAATGAAAGCCAATACGGAATTGGAAAACAACAACACACTCTTCCCTGAAATTCGCTGGGTTACAAACATCGTGACTGGAGTTGGCTGTGAAGCTGGAAGATAATTTCAGTGCAACTTCTTTTGCTCTATGTATTTTAAGGCTGTAACCTTCAAATGGGGCAAGAGGTGTAGGAGGGACAGTATCTGCTACCAAGCAGCTGTGAAATATTGTGCTGTGTAGCAAACGAACAATCTAGCGCAGGAATGGGCAAGAGACGAACTGTGTGTAATGAATACTGCACCTCACTCGGTGGCACCTGTTTGTAGAATCTTATACTTTCTCCACTCCCTGGTCTCAAAAGCATAACCATCACTAAGCCTGTTAAAACATGCACGCAATACAGTGATACCTCAGTTCTTGAATGTAATCCATCCCGGAAGACCGTTCGGGTTCTGAAACATTCGAAAACCGAGGCGCAAAGAGCTGTCGGCAAATTCAATTGAGAAAATTGAAAAACACACAGCAGAAGTCATTCGACTTCTGAGGCGTGGTCGGAAATGGAAGCATTCACTTCCGGGTTTTCGGCGTTCGGGTTCCGAAACGTTCATCAATGGAGACATTTGAGAACTGAGGTACCACTGTATTCTGTAAGAGGGGCTCTATTTGCAGTAAGGCATGGAATCCAGGGGCAGTCAACATGGTGCCCTAAGAACTTTGTTGGACTACAACTCCCATCAGCCCCCAAGCTGGTCTGGCCGATGGTCAGGGATGATGGGAGCTATAGTCCAAGAACAGCTGGGCTAACCCTGGAGTGAAGCAATGAACCGGCACGACACCAGGGATTGCTTCGCCTTCTGTACTCATCAGCCTAATCTGGATCCAGGGCCGAATCTGATGTACTAACTGAGCGCTGAGCAAATGCGCTCTTCTTGAACTAATCTGGTATGGAGTCTGCAGGACAAAGCAAACTTGCACCACTTTGGATAATGGAGTAGACTTGCTTGGGCACGTCGGCATGAGAAGGGGAGGAAAAGATGGGCGGAGGGGGAACCGAGGTGGCCACAGTGATGCTCTGGTCCTCATCGCTCACCACTGTCACCTCCCCAGCCCCCTCCTGAATCAAAGCATTGAGTCCTTCCAAGTCGGAGCAGCTGATCTCGGCACCGCTGATGAAAGCCTGGGTAGCCGAGGCCTCGTGGCTGCCTACGGGGATGTCGGGAATCAGAGTCTGGCCGGGTGTGCTTCTGTCTGCTGGACTGTGGGTTGTGAGGAGCACGGCCGGTTGGCCCATCGAAATGCTTTCCGCTTGAGACCCCGGGGGCAGAGGGGGAGCCAGCAAGCTCACTTGCTGCAGGATTTGCAACTGGCCGTTGCCAGACAGATCTTCTTGGCTCTGGCTTATTAAGGCTGGCGGCACAATGTTCACGGAAGCCGCTTGCACCAGACCGCCGGCTTGGGGTACCTGATGTCCGACGATGATCTTCACCTGCCCTTTGCCGTACGACGAAGCCTGCAGCGGGACCTGTAGGTGGCTGACGGTAATAGGGGTGCCGCTTGGCCTCGTGGGGTCCACCTGGAACTGCAAAACGGCCAGCTCCGGGTTCTTCGCCCCGTTGTACTCGACGTGTTGCCTCTTGTGGCTCCGCAAGGAGTCTTCCCGGACAAACGAGGCCTCGCAGAGATCGCACTTGAAAGCTTTCTTGGCCTCCAGCCTGGCCACTTGCCTGGAGCCGCCTTCCTTCGGCCGGTCTCCTTCCCCCTTCTCGGCTGCCTTCTTCTTGACCCTGACCTTGTCCCCGTGCGCCTTCTTCATGTGCGTGGTGAGGTTGCTGCGCTGCTTGGTGTCAAAGCTGCAGAAATCGCACTTGAACGGCCGGTCCTTGAAGTGGATCCTCTCGTGCACCTTGAGGGTGGCCTTGTTGGAGCAGGAGTAGCTGCACTCCGAGCACTTCACCGGCTGCTCGGGCTGGTGGGTGCGCAGGTGGTGCCGGAGGCTGGTCTTGTTCCCGCACTGGAACTCGCACTCGAGGCACCGGTAGGCGTTCTCCATGCTGTGCTTGATGCGGATGTGTGACTTCAGGTTGCCCTTCATGGCGCAGCGCACGTCGCAGTAGTCGCACTTGTAGGGCTTCTCCCCCGTGTGCACGCGCATGTGCCTCTTCAAGTCCGAGTTGATTTTGAATTTGGCGCTGCAGAGGCGGCACTGGAAGGGAGCGTCTCCTGTCCGTGAGAAAAGCGTTTCGAATTAGGGGAGTTTGGACCAAGAGATGCAGGACAATAAGGATAAATTCCAATGGATCTGCATTGGTGTTTCTGAAAGATGATGATTTTATAGGAAGTGTCGAACATTAAAAACATATTTTACAGAGTGTAATAATAAAAAACAAAGAATAAAAACAGATAGCATAATAAAATTAATCATAATAACAGTACCCACCTGCAACACATTTAACAGGCCATAGATTATTTAATGGCCAAAGGCCTGGGTAAAGAGGAAAGTTTTTGCCAGCCATCTAAAGACATGTAATGATGGTGCCAGGAGAACCTCTGTAGGGAGAGAATTCCACAGATGGGGAGCCACCACAGAAAAGGCCCCTTCTCGTGTTGTATCCCTACAAACCTCTTGGGGAGAGGGGGACATAGAGAAGGGCCTCGGATGACAAGTGCAAGGTCTGGGGCGATTCATATGGGGAGAGATGGCCCTTAAGGTATTGAGGTCCTAAGCTGTGTGAAGCAGGCATAGGCAAACTCCGGCCCTCCAGATGTTTGGGTCTACAGTTCTCACCATCCCTGACCACTGGTCCTGTTAGCTAGGGATCATGGGAATTGTAGTCCCAAACATTTGGAGGGCCGTAGTCTGCGCATGCCTAGTGTAAGGCTTTATAGGTCAACACCAGCACTTTGAATTGGGCCCGGAAACTAAATGGCAGCCAGTGTAGTCGGGCCAGGATTGACATTATATGAATTTACTACGACTTTGAAGGTGCCATGACACTTTGGGTTGTGCCCAGTCTTTCTCAGCGTAGTCCCACTGAAATGAATGGACCCAAATTTTCATCATGCTACCCATTGCAACACTGGGATCCATTTCAGCTGAGACCCCATCAGTCATTTTAGTGCCTGTTCTGTCAATTTGCACCATAAAATTTCATTGTCCCCACCCCTCTTTCACAAGAGATGGGTTTCTCTTCTTTTGAGCGGGACAGGGCATAATTTGTCTGCAGCCACAAATGCACAAACCCAGCACTTTAACATCAAATGCAAATAAATGCATCTTTATACATACTATCTGAAGGGGAGGGAAGACAGGACACCTGCATTCTGAAACCTACAGATTTCCCCCCCAGAAAAAAATGCCACCATTTCCTTGCCTGCCCTTCGCTTTCCCCCATATCTCCCAATAGCTCTCCTCCAGTTATTTGTCTGCCGGTCTGCTATGCAAGCTTTGCATATTTAATTATTATAGTAACATTATTGTTTTTCCCCCTAAGCAAAGTATCTGTTTGAAAAGGAAAGCAAACAGAATGCATTGAAAAGGGGAGTAAATGGAGAATACCAATGTTCAGGAGCAAAGACAGACCTCTGCACAACAATTTGCAGGAATTATATCCGAAAACATGCCTTAGCTTTCGTAGCGTTACGCCTCCACAGCTGGTAGGACCTGCCTAATCAACAGAGCAATACAGCGCAAACATGCACAGTATTGATACCTTTCACAATACGAACGGCGGGGTTTTCGTTTCGCAAAGAGTAGCCAATTATCGCTAATACCACATCACAAAGCAGCACTGTTGACTTATTGCTGCTCTAAGCTACTTGAACAGCGCGGAGCTCCTTTGTTATTCCGTGTATATCACGCACACACGCTCAGAAGTGAGTGAATGAGCCACGGGGTGCCATTTAAGGCAGAAATAAAATGTAAGGAGGTCCTTGGTTCAGTGAACGTTGCAGCTCTTTTAAAAAATCACAACACACATGGCTTAATTTACTTTACCAGTTAATATTTTATAGATCTTCATAAATGGGAGACTGTAAAAATAAAATAAAAAATGTAGGCGTAAGTTGCTTACCCGGCTACATATTTCATTGATCGGGCGGAAGATATTTCAAATTGCGATGTGGCATACTGTGCTAATCCACAAGCTTGCTTAATAATTGAGACCCTGGGTGTAAAATGTTTATTATACACATTTTATTAATGAAGACACACAGCCTGCCAGTTCAATTTGTTTTACAGGCTGGCCCTTCCAGCTGCGTATACCACTGGGTGAACTGCAAGAGACAGTCATTGGATTTTTACCCACTTTCCTGATGAAAACCGGGTGCGGCACATGATCCAATAGTCCCCAATTTCAGATGCCAAGCCATACTAGAGGAGATCTGCAGAAGCTAAATGTCAGCCGTACATTTAATGTTCCAATCTAGAGATGGATCTGTGTCGCCAGTTCTTTTTCCTCCTCAATGACCCTATTGGATTTGACTTTGGCAAAGGAAATTTAATTTATTACTATTTTCTTTTTCTTTGCAGAGCTTCATTTGTAAAAAATGAAATGCCCATGCAAGAAGAGAATGGAAATTAAGAGGGGACTTCTGAATGGCCGGGACGCAAGTGGCGCTGTGGGTTAAACCACAGAGCCTAGGGCTTGCTGATCAGAAGGTTGGCGGTTCGAAACCCCGTGACGGGCTGAGCTCCCGTTGCTCGGTCCCTGCTCCTGCCAACCTAGCAGTTCGAAAGCACGTCAAGTGCAAGTAGATAAATAGGTACCGCTCCAGCGGGAAGGTAAACAGCGTTTCTGTGCGCTGCTCTGGTTCGCCAGAAGCGGCATGGTCATGCTGGCCACATGACCCGGAAGCTGTACACCGGCTCCCTCGGCCAATAAAGCGAGATGAGCACCGCAACCCCAGAGTCGGCCATAACTGGACCTAATGGTCAGGGGTTCCTTTACCTTTACTGAATGGCCGAGCCTAAGACCTGCAGGATCTGAGTCCAAGCAGAGATGGCAAGGATAGCCTTTCCTTTGGAGATTCTAGCAGGGTTGTGTGAAAGGGCAGAGCATCACATTCCAAGAACCTCAACGCACCTGGGAAGTCCTCTCTAGGCACAGGCATGCTGCATCATTCCTTGCACTTGATAAGCAACACAAAGCCTGTGGATGGGCAATGCCTAGTAGAAAGATTTAGCACCCTGGCCTTCTGACCATGCCAGGTCAACAGACCAGGGGCTCTGGCTTGCTGTTCCTCAGGCTCCAGCTCCAGCTGTTGGTCCTAGGAACCGTGAGTTTGAGATCCTCCATATTGAAGCAGGTCAGCCCACAGCCCTGGTTTGGCCCTGACACAGCTCTGTAGTTTTAAGTTTTTACTCATAATGGGTGGAACAGCATCTGGAGAGGACATGGGCAATGTCTGGTGAACGCCTTAAGATGTGAGATACTTACAGCCAACTTTTGAGCAGGCCAACTCTTGGGAGTTCCAGTGTGATGCAGGTTCTTAATAGTTTTCCCCAACGAATCCAGCACTAGACTTTTATACACATGTGAGTGTTGGGAAACCTGTGCCTTATAGACTCAACTGCTATCCAACTGCTCGCTCTATGAAAATTCACTTTACAAAAACGAGAAACCTTGCTATGCACATTGTAGACTCAGATACCCAAATAGCCAGTCCTCCATGTCCTCCTCTGTAAACCAATAATCAGCCTTAGAGAAGCCTTACTTTTTGGTGTTTTGCTGGTCTTGCGACAGCCATTTCAACAGAAACCATGGCAGGAAGAATAGGAGAGACTGGACAAATAAGAGAACATTTTCTCCTTCCTTGTTTGCCTTTTGCAAGGTTTTCCGTCATTTGGGGGTCAGATTTCCATGGTCAGGAACATATTCAAAATTTCCCCATAGGAATCAATGGAATTTGAAGAGTCGTTATGTGACTAGCAATTGATTTCCTGAGAAGTGATTGTGTTTGCACAGTGAGACGTGCTTGTATATAAATATTTGGGGCAGGAAAACACAGCTAAAAGGAGGTTTGCAAACATCACCAGTCAGCTGGCCCGAAAAGCTCTGTGGAAAGCTCTCTGCTTAGGGCTTTGCAAGATCATTGGATCGCATGAAGCCCCTTTGTCTTTTCCCTCCCTGCAATAATCACGGAGCATCTGATCCCCTATCCCAACGTGAGGCAACGTATGGCAAACCTGTCCCTGTCCTTACCTGTATGGGACCTGAGATGCACCGTGAGCTGGCTGGAATTGCGGCTTGCGTAAGGGCAGATCTGGCACTTGAAAGGGCGCTCGTTTGAATGGATGCGCTGGTGCTTGTTCAGGCTGCTGCTTTCGGAAGCTGCGTAGTCACAGTGCTTGCACTTGTAGGGCTTCACTCCACTGTGGGATCGCATGTGCATTTTCAGCTTGTCTTTGCGGCTGAAGCTCTTTCCGCAAACCTCACATTTGTGGGGCTTGTCACCTAAAATAATGGCAACAACAAAAGGCGAAGGTGCAGCAGGGTTGAGATCAGTTGCATTACACGGAACAAAGAGATTCTTAATGGAAGAATGTTTCCCTTTCCCTTTTTGTCATGAGCTTATTATACTTTAGAGGTTTCCTCCATGCTATTTGTCTTTTTCTCCAGCAAACTGAGGATGTGCAGAGAGGCAGGCATTGCTTTGGGAATGCATCTGCTTGCAATACATTAATTTTACAGGTGGGATCTGAAACAAAACACTGCAGTGTGCAATGCTTTCGATAAGGGCTCCAGCCACCCAATTCTATCCCCTCCCTGCACCATCTTCCACCTCAATAATCAGTCATCCTTCTACACCTATTGAGCATGTCCTGGTGGATCCTTTTCTTTCCATTTCGGTTTTTCTTAATGGAGAGGAGGGTCGAATCCAAGCTATGCTAAAATATTTTATTTATCCATTGAAGTCTATAGCAAATCATGCTTCCATCCTTGGGACACTTTAAAATAGCTTCTCAGCATGAACCAAGAAATGGGACGCGGGTGGCGCTGTGGGTCAAACCACAGAGCCTAGGACATGCCAATCAGAAGGTCGGCGATTCGAATCCCCGCGCCGGGGTGAGCTCCCGTTGTTCGGTCCCTGCTCCTGCCAACCTAGCAGTTCAAAAGCACGTGAAGTGCAAGTAGATAAGTAGGTACTGCTCCATGCTGGCCACATGACCCAGAAGCTGTACGCCGGCTCCCTTGGCCAATAAAGCGAGATGAGCGCCGCAACCCCAGAGTCAGCCACGACTGGACCTAATGGTCAGGGGTCCCTTTACCTTTATGAACCAATAAGTGACCTTTCCAGAGAATGGGATGCTTCATTCTACCCTTTTTCATATCTCTGTCTCCTTTCTTCCCCTTTCCAGCCTCTCCATTCCCCCTCCCATGGTTGTCAGTCCCCACCCCCCACTCTCTCAACATTCTGTGTGATATTTATGGGTTGCCCAATTCCTTCCGCCTCAAGTACACCCCCCGCCCAAAGATTTTTTTAGCACCTGCAAATCTCAGGGTTACTTCAAGTCTGCAGGTACTCCTGGGGGTGGAAATGAGGGAGGAAAAAGAACAAAGATGTGTTTAAGGAAAAAAATACAAATACAAAATTGCAATGTAACACACTCCCATGCACTCCTGTATAAACTGATACAGTGTTATTATCTTAATGCATATATAGATGTTAATCGCCTACTACGTTCTGTATAAACTCATTCCAAATGTTATCATATTTATCCAAGCGAAGTCTGTGCCCGTAAGCAGAATGCAAATGGGCCCAGGGGATCTGTGTACATTGGTGGTGGGGGGCAGGTAGGGAAATTAGGGCTATATAACTCAGTTTAAGGCTCTATAAGGCTGCTTACCAGTGTGTGTTCTTAAATGTCGTTCCATGTCTTTCATACCGTAGGATGTCTTGAACTGGCAGCCTGGGGAGGGAAAAAAAGGAGAGGGCCAGATATTATTTATTTATTGACTTTTACCCTACACTTTCTCTGGTCCTCTGGTCCTCAACAGGCATACATGACCTAGAACTAGGCCTCGGCTAGAACTCTGCTCCTTATTCCTCTCCCTGGACGCCAAACTTCTACGGATGCCAGCAGTCAACAAGTCCGCTGGGAGACACAGCCATGTTGTTTCCTGACGTTGGCGTTGCTCGCAATTGACATGGCAACAGGAAACGGGGCAGCATTTCCTTCAGGGCAAACTTTGGGTGGGCAGAGCAGAGGCAGGAGTGGGTGGAGCAACAGATGTAAATTTCCCCTTCGTACAGTAGGCTAGTTTCTACCCAAACCCTCGGTGTTAGAAATTAGCCAGGCGCGTTTTGCTACTGGCGAGGGTCCAACTGTGACCACGTGGAAATCTCTGTTTGCCAAGCTGGCGACTGACATCTCCATCAGGCTGGCCCCTCCAGGTTTAAGCAGAAGAACTTATTTATTCTGTTTATATTGCACTTTTTTCTCCAAGGAGTACATGGTTCACTCCCCTCCTCAGTTAATCCCTACAACGACTCTGTGAGGTAGCTTAAGAGGCTGTGACTGGCCCACGGTTATCCAGTGAGCTTCATGACTGAGTAGAGATTTGAACCCTGATCTCCCAAGTCCTAGTCCGATTCTCTAACCACTACACCACACTGGCTTCCTAAAGCACTTATGCTATGGGGCAGCTATATAAATTAAGTAAATAAATATAGTGGTACCTTGGGTTACATACGCTTCAGGTTACATACGCTTCAGGTTACAGACTCCACTAACCCAGAAATAGTACCTCAGGTTAAGAACTTTGCTTCAGGATGAGAACAGAAATCGTGCTCTGGCGGCGCGGCAGCAGCAGGAGGCCCCATTAGCTAAAGTGGTGCTTCAGGTTAACAACAGTTTCAGGTTAAGAACAAACCTCCGGAACGAATTAAGTACTTAACCCGAGGTACCACTGTATGGGGAAAGCAAAAGGCCACTTAGAGGAGGATCTGAAATATTTTCAGTGAAGCTTGAATTTATTTTATTCTGGATTACTTTATTTGATGTTTTATTGTGTTGTAAACTGCTTTGAGATTTTTTTCTTTAAGATATAAAGCGGTATAGAAATGAAATTAAGTAGTAGTAGTAGTAATAGTAGTAGTTTCACAGCAAAAAAGAAAAAGGGAAAAAAATGCACCTAGACATTCCGTTGTGGCAACCGTAACCTAGGTTTAAATTGCCATTTGGGGATTAGCTTATATATCTGAGTTTATAACGCTGCTCTCCATCCTCTATCCAGGAAGCAAGAGACACTGGCAGAGTCAAAGAGCATACCCCAGTCACTCTGGACATGAAACACAGCCAGTGAGGGTGCAGTTTTGGGACAGCTCCATGGGGCAGATAAGAGAGGTTCCCCTGGGTCTGGGATTCCCCTTCAATTCCACACTCAGATCCCGGATAGGCAGATAAGGTTGAAGTGCACTCTGCAAGCTTCAAAGCTGAGCAAGGATTTAATTCCACACCCTCCTGGTTCAGGTCCAATGAGCCCCTAGTAGGTAGGCGTGCAGGTGTTTGGCCTGAATTACCAACACTGTCTGAGGTTAGAAGCACAGCGAAAAATGGGCATAACTTCCAGGTAAGATTCTCAAGGGAAGACAGGTTCTGAAACGGAACATTCTGATGAAGTTAGCTGACCTAATTACACACGCAAGGCTTCCCACCCATCTACCTTCCCGTGACTTTGGCCTGCATGATCAATGGCTATATAAATTAATTAAAAAGCGCTTCCATGAATCTTCTTGAAACTTTGCGGCCATGTCACTGATTAAAATTCGTTTAAGCATTTCCAATTTATCCCCCCCCCCCCCCTGGAAGCAGCAGAGCAAAGCAGAGGATGTAAGGAACGATTCGGAAGAACAATTCACGAGGGACAAAGCCCTTTGAGGTCCCCGAGACTCCTTGGGGTGGGGTGAGGCAAGAAAATCCTGAAAAAGGAGGCTATCATTTTTACTGTGTATCATCTATATGTATACAGAATCCATACTGCTGAGCCTCACTTACTGGAAAGTGCATTTTTTCTTTCCTTCCAAAGACTATTTTTGTCAATCATAGTCCTCCTAATATGCAGGCAATATTTCCCAAAGCAATGACAGCTAAAGAGGGTAGTGTGGTGTAGTGGTTAGTGTTGGACTAGAGTTCAAATCCCCACTCACCAATGAAGCTCCCTGGGTGACCTTGGGACTCTCAGGCCAAACTACCTCACAGGGTTGTTGTAGGTGGCTTGGGTACGTGTTTGTTGCTGTTGCTGATGCTAATTTTTAATATATATTTATTCTGGATCTTGTGATTTATGTGAAAATTTGGCTGTGTGCTTTTTGATGTTTCATTTATTGTTGATGACTAGTTTTGTTATGTTTGCAGTTATGTATTTTTTTATACACTGCAAGCCACCTTGCACACGGTTTGAACTTTGGAAAGGCAGTATAGTCATACCTCGGGTTGAATGTGCTTCAGGTTGAGCGCTTCCGGGTTGTGCTCCGTGGCAACCCGGAAGTAACGGAGCGCATTACTTCCGGGTTTTGTCGCTTGCACATGCGCAGACGCTCATAATGACATCATGCGCATGCGCGGAAGCGGCAAAATGCGACCCGCGGACGCACAGATGCATCTTATGTTCTATTCAGGATGCGAACGGGGCTCCCGTTCGCATCCCGAGGTACCACTGTACAAAGGATTGATTGAATAGGAGGGGGAATAACAATGTTTACCCACCTTATTTATTTATTGAATTTATATACCTGCCCTATAACCACAGGTCTCAGGGTGGTTGAACTCCTTGGAGTAAAAGATGGGGTGTAAACACAGCAAACAAATAAATAACCCATCCTCCCCAACCACTATGAGGTTTATAGCAATTGCCACTGTTTTTTTCCACCTGTGAAGGAGGAGATTTTGAACCTTCCTACCCCAAAGCAACAGAATAGAATGGAAGGATCTGTGAACCAGCAACAACCAGGGGATCTAAACCGCAAACACAGTCACTTCTATGGTCCCAAGACTGCCACACTGTCAAAACCAGGCATAGGCAAACTTGGCCCTCCAGATGTTATTGGCCTACAACCATGATCCCAACCAAAAGGACCAGTGGTCAGGGATGATGGGAATTGTAGTCCCAAAACATCTGGAGGGCCAAGTTTGCCTATGCCTGGTCTAAACACAGGCATATACCTTACCTGGATAGCAGCAGTTAAGTTTCTTTTGCGCCCCTGGTGTGGCGGACTTTCTGGCGCGAGGTTTCGGTGTAGTGGTGACAACGGCGGCAGGCTGAGGCTCACTGCTCTCACCAGGTAGGTAGGTTTGGTAGCCATGCTCAAAAACAAACTCTGGCGCAGAAACTCAAAAGCAACCAGGAAAAAAAGAAGACTTGTTTTAACATCAGAGCACTGCAAAACCACATAGCTTCTGTGAACCCTCAATATAAGAAGAAAAAATTACTCCCAGTCTTGAGACTATAATGCAATCTTCTTTTCTTTTTCTTAACTGCTTCCTTGTCAGTGAGAGAAACGCCACAAGGTTCACTAATCAAAGCTGATCAGGAAGGAAACTTTTAAGTTAGCTATGAGACTGAGCTCCCATATGCACTATGAATTTGAAGAGCTGTGGCTCTCTGCACAGAAGCCTTGGAAGTGTGTTTTGTGAATGGTGCTGAGACTTGTTAAGCTACCCCTCTTCCCAAATCATTTACAGGCAAGAAGAAGAAAAGAGCCAACTTTTGCAATACTTTTCTGCCTGGTCAGCTGGAGGTGATTTTTATTTGCCACAGGTGGCAAAGTAAGCTGCTGCGTACAAGAATGAACAAGGAAGTGAGTTTAGGGACCTGCCTTATACCAGCTAAGATTCTTCTCCCATCTTGCCCAGTATTTCCTGTTCTGACTGGCAGTGACTCTGCCAGGGTCAGGCAGAGAGGACTTTTCCATTACTTGCTATCTGAACGTTTGAATTGGGAAGATCTGCATGGAAGGCATGTGCTCTACCACTAAGGCATTTCCCCCAAGTTCACAACCCACAAGTGGCATACATTGAGCCCCAATCTAGGCCAATGTTCTCAGCTCGGACTGGCAGCAGCTCTCCATGATCTTAAGCAAAGACATTTCTTTTCTTTGGAGATGCCGGTGGGCAAAGCTTTAGTGCAGGGGTCAGCAAACTTTTCCAGCAACTTTTCCTGTCAACATCATGGCATCGGAATGTAACTAAAGACTGACATACAAAATCAGGCCAAAGTTCCATCAAGTAGTATAACAGTGGAACAGTTTGGTCTGGGGGTCAGCAAACTTTTTCAGCAGAGGGCCAGTCCACTGTCCCTCAGACCTTGTGGGGGGGCCGGACTATATTTTGAAAAAAATAATAAAAAATGAATGGATTCCTATGTCCCACAAATAACCCAGAGATGCATTTTAAAGAAAAGGACACATTCTACTTATGTAAAAACACGCTGATTCCCGGACCGTCCACGGGCAGGATTTAGATGGCGATTGGGCTGGAACCGGCCCCCCGGCCTTTGTTTGCCTACCCATGCTTCAGTGTTTCCATTTGCCCAGGGTACCCCTGCTGCTGAAGCATACAATGCTAGGGCTTAGTTTTGCCACAAAGATGCCACTACCCAAACTTCCTAGATAAATACCTGTGATCGTTTGGGTTTCTGAAGTGATGGTCCTTGTTGTGGTTTGGGTCTGGGTCGCTGGCACGGTTTCTTCTGCTACAAACTGTACTGTGCTGGTGGTCTCCGCTGTCGTGCCGGACAACTGGCAGCCGCTTCTCTTGTGAGCGACGAACGCATCTAGGTTATTGAACTGCTGCTTGCACAGGCCACAAATGTGAATATCTGGTGTGAGCTCCACCAGGACAGTGGTGCCTCCTGGAACTGTCAAAAGACATCAAATTGAACAAAACAATTAATAATTACCACAGAAATGGCAACATAAATTTTATGTGTTGCCAAGGTTATTGTTTGCAAGTTACTGGAAACAATGAAAAACAAAAAAAATTCCTTCCAGTAGCACCTTAAAGACCAACTAAGTTAGTTCTTGGTATGAGCTTTCGTGTGCATGCACACTTCTTCAGATACACTGAAACAGAAGTTGCCAGATCCTTCTATATAGTGAGAAGGTGGGGGGGGGGGGTATTACTCAGAAGGGTGGTGGGAATGGGTGATTGGCAGATAGCTGTGATGAGCCTGTTGACGACTCTTAACGGCTGCAATAGGTCTTACAGGAAAAAGCAAGGGGTGAGAAGGTGAAAAATGGCTTTGTCGTGTATAATGAGATAAGAATCCAATGTCTTTGTTCAGACCAGGTCTCTCCATGGTTTTAAGTTTGGTAATGAGTTGCAATTCAGCAGCTTCTCTTTCCAGTCTATTTCTGAAATTCCTTTGTAGTAAAACAGCTACTTTGAGATCTTGTATAGAATGTCCTGGGAGATTGAAGTGTTCTCCTACTGGTTTCTCTGTCTTGTGATTCTTGATGTCAGATTTATGTCCGTTTATTCTTTGGCGTAAGGTTTGGCCTGTTTGTCCAATATAGAGAGCTGAAGGACTCTCCCCACCTTCTCACTATATAGAAGGATCTGGCAACTTCTGTTTCAGTGTATCTGAAGAAGTGTGCATGCACACGAAAGCTCATACCAAGAACTAACTTAGTTGGTCTTTAAGGTGCTACTGGAAGGAATTTTTTTTGTTTTGACTATGGCAGACCAACACGGCTACCCATCTGTAACTGGAAACAATGAAATGGTTGAACAGGGTTCACCAACATGGCAGGCATCCTGGTACCCATTGAGCCTCTGAGCCTCCCCATGAACTGCCCACTTGGTCATGACGTATCCTCCCTTGGAAATCACGTAAAGTTGAAGGAGAAAGTTGGAAGAGTGATGCTCTTTCTCATTTCCTCTTTCAGCTCTATGTGCTTTTTGAGGCTGATTAATTCAACTAGCTCCGACGTTTACCCAGATTGTGTAGAAAAGTGGAATATGTGTGCATTCACTTTCTCTATTTCTGTCTCCGGGGGGTGAGGGGTGGGGAGAGGAGCAGAGAAAAGAGGGTTTGGCGTCCACAGCACTTGCTGAAAAATTCAAGGGTGCCCACTGACCTTGGTGAACTCTGTGTTAGAAAAAACATTATTATCCCACAGTAGGTTATCAGAAGCTTCAGCAGTAAATAAATAAATAAATAAATGTTTATTTATACCCTGCCCTCCTCGGCCAGGGCGGCTACCACCAAATACGAATTACAATAAAACATAATAGAGAAGAAACACACAACAAACAAACAGTTAATTAAAATATGGCTTAAAATACATCTTAAAATGCAGCCGCATTTTAGTAGTAGGCCATAAATCAAGTTACAGATAGGTAGCCGTGTTGGTCTGCCATAGTAAAAGTGCATGCACACTTCTTTCAGTGTATCTGAAGAAGTGTGCATGCACACGAAAGCTCATACCAAGAACTAACTTAGTTGGTCTTTAAGGTGCTACTGGAAGGAATTTTTTTTTTTTGCCATAAATCAAGACCATAAAAGGAGGAAACATCAGATACTCACCTGAGCCAGCTATCCATGCTGGTCCTACATGGGCCAGCAAAAAAGCCAATGGAAACTTTATACAGTGGTACCTCAGTGGTACCACTTCAGGTTACTGACTCCGCTAACCCAGAAATAGTACCTCGGGTTAAGAACTTTGCTTCAGGATGAGAACTGAAATCGTGCTCCGGCGGTGCAGCGACAGCAGGAGGCCCCATTAGCTAAAGTGGTGCTTCAGGTTAAGAACAGTTTCAGGTTTAGAACGGACCTTCGGAACGAATTAAGTACTTAACCCGAGGTACCACTATATACCAAATCCCATTTAAGGGGTCAGAGAGTCTAAGCCAAAGGCCAGGCGAACAGGTCCGTCTTGCAGGCCCTGAGGAAAGATGTCAAATCCCGCAGGGCCCTAGTCTCTTGTGACAGAGCGTTCCACCACATCGGGGCCACTGCTGAAAAGGCCCTGGCCCTAGTTGAAACCAATCTAACCTCCTTGAGGCTTGGGACCTCCAAGTGGCAATGTGTGAGCTGGCAGGCCACGCACTGCACACTGCTTTAGCATCCATGCGCATTGACACTAGTCAAGATACATCTGCTCTCTGCTCCAAGATTTAACTTCTGAAGTCCATAGGAATGGAGCTCAGCATTGAAGGATGGCAAGACTAGCTGAAAAGACTAAAAAAATTAACAAGTGGAATATAATGTACCTTTATTTATCCATCACAGACCTTATTACTGCCAGGTGGAGTTACAAGATAATAGTGCACATGTTCATTCATGAGAATCGCCAAGATGTCAGGTTTTAAATCCTCTACAGATTGCTATAAGTTAAATGGCGGATGTGCAGGGAGGAGAATGCGATGAGACGAGGCCTTTTCAGTGACTGCACCAATATTGTGAAATATTTGTGAAGCATCGATGACCCCCTCTGTTGTGCTTAAATTCCACCAGAATTTTGCTTGCTAAGTTCATTTTTACCTAGGATCTCTGCAATTGCTTTTAAACAGTTTTTTTTTTAAAAAAAATTGCTGTGTTCCTACACACACCTGTTCAAAACATATTTATTTGTATTGCTGAATTCTTTGTATTTCAATGTATTTATTCTAAATTGTTGTATGGCACTCTTGACTGATGCACTAGAAGGATGGAACAGAAATGAATGCTAGGTAGGTCAGGTTGAGATATTGTGATGGGCACAATATTGCCTACTGAAACACCCCTAGTCCAGCCATTTTAACCTGCTTACGTTATATGGAAGCTTTTCCCCAGGAAATCACGCGCAGGAAGGCAGCTTGCAATGTCACTTTATGCATATTTACTCAAACTGGATTTACTCCCAGGTAAGTCTGTGTAAGGGACGCGGGTAGCGCTGTGGGTAAAAGCCTCAGCGCCTAGGGCTTGCCGATCGAAAGGTCGGCGGTTTGAATCCCCGCGGCGGGGTGCGCTCCCGTTGTTCGGTCCCAGCGCCTGCCAACCTAGCAGTTCGAAAGCACCCCTAAGTGCAAGTAGATAAATAGGGACCGCTTACTGGCGGGAAGGTAAACGGCGTTTCCGTGTGCTGCGCTGGCTCGCCAGATGCAGCTTTGTCACGCTGGCCACGTGACCCGGAAGTGTCTCCGGACAGTGCTGGCCCCCGGCCTCTTGAGTGAGATGGGCGCACAACCCTAGAGTCTGTCAAGACTGGCCTGTACGGGCAGGGGTACCTTTACCTTTAAGTCTGTGTAATGGATTGCAGCTTTAACGTATTTAAATTCCAGCAGCACAAATAGCTCCATTGTGTGATCTCTTAAAACCTTCCCACGGAGAGAACACATTCGCTTAAGAAACTTTTAAAATCGCCTTTTCTTTTAATGTATTAATCTGGTGCTAGCCAGGCTAATGCGCCCTGAGTTCAGCCTTGAGCAATTGCAGAATGGCTCATGTGGAGAGGATGCACATGCAGCCTCCTACATGTGAGGTTATGGGGCTGGCCATAGTTTAGGGGAAGAGCATATGCACACAGAAGGTACCAGGTTCAATCCTGGCCATCTCCCAGTTAACAGGACCAGGTATCCCAGGCGACTGGAAAGACTGCCTGAGCTACTAAGAAAGTTGTTGCCAGTCAGTGTAGCCCATACTGGATGATACAGACTAATCTGGTGTGAGGCAGCCTTCTGTACTACTACTACTACTACTAATAATAATAATAATTTATTATTTATACCCTGCCCATCTGGCTGGGTTTCCCCAGCCACTCTGGGCGGCTTCCAATAAAACACTAAAATACAATAACCTATTAAACATTAAAAGCTTCCCTAAACAGGGCTGCCTTCAGATGTCTTCTAAGTTTGGTAGTTATTTTTATCTTTGACATCTGGTGGGAGGGCGTTCCACAGGGCAGGTGCCACTACCAAGAAGGCCCTCTGCCTGGTTCCACTTCTCACAGGGAGAGAAACCGTCAGAAGGCCCTCGGCGCTGGACCTCAGTGTCCGGGTAGAACAATGGAGGTGGAGACGCTCCTTCAGGTATACTGGACAGAGGCTGTTAGGGCTTTAAAGGTCAGCACCAACACTTTGAATTGTGCTCGGAAACGTACTGGGAGCCAGTGTAGTTCTTTCAAGACCGGTGTTATATGGTCTTGGCGGCCGCTCCCAGTCATCAGTCTAGTTGCCACATTCTGGATTAGTTGTAGTTTCCGGGTCACCTTCAAAGGTAGCCCCACATAGAGCGCATTGCAGTAGTCCAAGCAAGAGATAAGTAGAGCATGCACCACTCTGGCCAGACAGTCTGCGGGCAGGTAGGGTCTCAGCCCACGTACCAGTTGGAGCTGATAAACAGCTGCCTTGGACACAGAATTGACCTGCACCCCCATGGACAGCTGTGAGTCCAGAATGACTCATCAGGCTGCACACCTGGTCCTTCAGGGGCACAGTTACCCCATTCAGGGGGTACCTTTTTGCTAGGGGGGTATAGAAAGTCCAAATGCAAGAACAAAAGCCCTGGCCTAGGAAGGGCCTCTGAATTCCTTGCAAGCAGAAGAATAAAACAGCATCCCAAACCAGGTTGCATTGGAGGTGCTGGAACCAGGCCTTGATCTGCTTGCACGCAGCGCTTCTGGCGCACGCTGAAAGTTGCACGGTCAAAAAAACCGGATTATGTCACCCCCCTCCATCTGCTGCAATCCTGCACAGAATTAAGTGGACCTAAACCCACCAAGCATGCTCAGATCTGCTGGCTTTAGCACCCAAAACCCTCCCGGTTCCTTATGAAAGGCGATGCAGCGTTTTTGACCCTCTCCCCACCCGGCCCCCGGCTTGTCTCAATGCCACCCTCCGGCCCGCCTTTCCCCAACCTGCCGGCTGCTCTTCCCACCCAGGTTCCCGGGCCCCGTTTTCACGCTCCAGATTCCCGGGCTGCGCGAGCGCTCGCTTCTTCCGCTACTCAGGTTTCGGGGCCGGCCGGAGCGCAGGCTCCGCGCGGCTTCTGCCAGCTCCGGGCCCGGGAGCGCGGATAAGCCGCGCAGCCACTTACATTGCACGGGGCTGGCGAAAGGCTGGCCGGTCGCGGCGCTCGGGTTCATCGCAGCCGTCGCGGATTCGCAGCAGCCGCGCGCCAGGCGCAGCTTTGCAAAAAGGAAAAAAGGGGGTGGGGGTGGGGAGAGGAAAAACGAACGAACAAGGAGACTTTGCAACGTCCTCGCGGGTCCCCCCCCCCACATCAGAAGGCGGGGACGGATGTGGAGGGACTGTGGAGCATGCTCTGTAGCAGCAACCGATGCCGTCGCGAGGCTCTTTGCCCACAGAAGGGAGCAAAGGGCGCTTGCAGTGCATGCCTCTGGTAGCAATGCAACTCAGGAGTAAGCCTGCTGAGTTGAGATGGACTTGCTCCCCGGTCAGTGCGCACACAGGATTGCAACCCTGGAGAAAAGCGAGGGACAGTGTAGCAAAATAGGCTCTGCGGTGGCATTTCTGGCTGAGCTACGGCAAGGCAGCAAAGGGTTTTCTTTTTCTTTTTCTTTGCCTCCTGTATCCTCGGGACAATACTGTAGATCCGAATGGGGACATTTCACTCGATGCTCGGAATGTGCATCTATTTAAACGTCCCTGCTCCGAAGCTGCTTTCTCTCCGCTTGCCCATTCATTTATGGCATTCGCGTGCCACCCAGTGAAACAAGTCCTCTGATTGCCTAGAAAATTTAAATTATTAAAACACAAATACAAGAAGTTAGCCGCTAAAATAATCAATACAAAAGCTTTGCCAGCACAGAATTAGTGTAAAATCAGCATGAAATCGCGGTGATACATGGTGACTCCAGAGACTGTCAATATCTGCATTCTGGAACTTTAGACCTGTGCATTTAAAATGGTTTAAAGTGCTCTGCCACTCTAGCATAACAAATCCACTTCGAAATAAAAATAAGAAATGGACCTCTTTGCAGTTTGGAAAGCGACAGGGAGACGCATTGAAAGGTGTGTGATTAATTGGGAAATGTGCACACCTTGCAAGCAAATCGGGATGAATGCAAGATGAATTCTCATTGCCATATAAGCACTCCATAAAGAAAGCAACGATTGTTCAATAAAGACTGGACCCGAGTCACATTTGTAGAGCAAACCCTACACAAATCTGGAGCGGAGGCCCTAAGACAGTTGGGTGGTGCATTGCACGCCTCCTTCCGGCAGCTCCTGCAAGCTGGTTGCAAACATTGCTCTGCTTTCCTTTGGATCACATCAGCGAGACAGAGAGGGGGCAGCCCAAGAACTCCATACACACCGTCCAGGCTTCTGCCCCAGAGAGGTCATTATGGTGCTTGCTAAGGATGGCGCTGTGGGTTAAACCACAGAGCCTAGGACTTGCCGATCAGAAGGTCGGCAGTTCGAATCCTCGCGACGGGGTGAGCCCCCGTTGCTCAGTCCCAGCTCCTGCCAACCTAGCAGTTCGAAAGCATGTCAAAGTGCAAGTAGATAAATAGGTACCACTCCGGCGGGAAGGTAAACGGTGGCTTAGTCATGCTGCCCACATGACCCGGAAGCTGTACGCCGACTCCCTCGGCCAATAGAGCGAGATGAGCGCCGCAACCCCAGAGTCGGCCACCACTGGACCTAACGGTCAGGGGCCCCTTTACCTTTTTAACTATCCAAAAACAGTGTGGTTTGACTTTAACCCCCAGCCCCCGGAGGTGCACTCCATTGTCTCTTGAAACAGACGGATGCCACTAACAACTGACATCCAAACTATTATTAATTCTATATTATTTCTAACATGTATAGGTCCTCCTTCGTTGCAACAGACTCATCCCAGGGTCTTTTCCAACAATGCATGAGATGCACCCAATATATCTACTACATAGGGGGTGGGTGGGAGGGGGTGTTGCTAGTTAGAACATAGGATACAAATATTGTACCAGCTGCATGCTCATAGCTGTCCTGGGTTCAGTGCAGCATGCTTATTTTGTTTGAAGCGAGACTATTTGAAGGGCTTCCTTCCCCCTGCACCAGCCTACTCCCCCTTTGAGATTGGCCTCTTTTCAATTATTTGCTTATTTAATAATAGCAGCCAAAACTCAAATCGTATGGGAGACAGGGGGTATGTTACGTTGTCAAATGGATCAATTCAAGAATTCTAAAGTTCAAAAGGTGCCGTTGATGTAAATGACACATGGTAAAATCCTTGCATACATCCCCAAATGTGGCAAGTTTAGCCAATCCTTGTACAGTGGTACCTCGGGTTAAGTACTTAATTCATTCTGGAGGTCCGTTCTTAACCTGAAACTGTTCTTAACCTGAAGCACCACTTTAGCTAATGGGGACTCCTGCTGCCACCGCGCCGCCGGAGCGCGATTTCTGTTCTTATCCTGAAGCAAAGTTCTTAACCTGAAGCACTGTTTCTGGGTTAGCGGAGTGTGTAACCTGAAGCATATGTAACCTGAAGCGTATGTAACCCGAGGTAGTAGTGCCTTAAGATTCCTTTAGAACCACTTTTTCTCCAAGCAACAAATGCGTGTAATAAATAATAAAAATGGTAATAATAATGGTAACGCTCCCCCCCCCATCCTAGTAATTTTCAGCAAAGTCTATAGAACCTATAGAAAATCTGGATGCTCCTGTGTCTATTTCAATACAGCAGAGATGGGAAACGTGAGTCCACTGAGATGTTATTGGACCAAAGTTCCCATCACCTTGGACCAGTGGCCATGCTTGTGAAAGTTGACGTCCAACAACCTCTGAAGCGCCTCCGTTTCCTCACCCCTGCAAGGGGGGATTTTGGTAGGAAGTGCGTTTCGCGTCATCTTGCTAGGGCCTCACCTGCTCCCTTCCCAGGCGAAATGTATCCTTTTGAGCCAAGGTTCTCCGGCAGGGATGGCCAAAATGATGAGCTTTCCAGCAACAGCTGCATGTCGGCATGTTGAAGCTTCTCCTTGCCGGATGCTCAGATATTTTATCTAGAACTGTCTGATGCAGCTTGACTTCTGAATGCCCTGCCTGTCTCTCCCCCAACCACCCTTTGCTCCTCCTGTGATTGACATTTGTCATTACCGTGCCACGTCGCTTGTGCGGTACTTGCCCACTGCCTGCAGCGGTGGAGTATCTTCTTTTTCTGTCAGGTTAAGGGTGAAAAGGATTACACATGCATACTGATTTATGCCTTCTGGGCTTGGAATAGTGTCAGTTGTGATTGCTGGCATGCTCGTTCAGCGTTTCTGCTTTTTTTTTGGTTGTTGGGTTACACAGCGTTTCAGTCTCGGGGCCGTTACACATATTATGGGAGATGAATGGTGGAGATCTTTTGGCCTCTTGTGCACATGCATCAGTTTTAACACCAGTAGTGTGTGCTTGTGCATCCCTTTTATACCGTCTTTGGAAACTGGCGTTTCTCGTGCTCATGCACATTACGGTTTTAGCATGCGCACCTCGACTACATGTGGTTGGTCAAGACTATGGAACACATGTCCTTAAAGCCTTGCAGACTTGCTGCCTGTTTATTGCCGAGCCAAGTTCATGGTGCCAGTTTTGACGTATGCTGTACCGTACTTTTCCATGTATAAGACTCCCCCATGTATAAGACGCCCCCTATTTTGGGAGGCTCAAATTTAAGAAAATGGGAGGAGGTGGCTCACAGTTGTTGAGCTTTTTTGGGGGAGGATTGCCCAGAGTTCTGCAGCTTGCTGCAGCAACAGCAAATTGCAAACAGACCCTTACCCAGCAGAAAATCAATAACCCAATGGAGAAAAGCTGTCCACTGCCAATCGCACACGTCCCAGAACAGCAGCTGCCAATTGCAGCAGAGACAGCCAATCTACAGTAGTCCTTGCTGCAAAAACCAATCACCAACCCAATCAGAGCAGCAGCAGCCAATCCAAAGCAGCTCTTGTAGCAGCTAACAATTGTCACCAACAAATTCCTATTTGCGGCTGCAGCCAATCACACACACCCCATTCACTATCCGTGTATAAGACAAGCCACGTTTTTGAACATTATTTTTGAGTAAAAAACCCTTGTCTTATAGACGGAAAAGTACGGTAAATCCTTAGATGGCTTAGGACCCAGCTATCCAAAGGAGTGTCTCTCCCACTATGGTCCTTCCTTGAGAGCCACTCAAGAGCCCCTTTGGTGAAGTCCAGTTGTCTGGAATTTGTGGTGCTGTGGTCTAAACCACTGAGCCTAGGGCTTGCCGATTGGAAGGTCGGTGGTTTGAATCCCCGTGACGGGGTGAGCTCCCATTGCTTGGTCCCTGCTCCTGCTAACGCAGCATTTCGAAAGCACGTCAAAGTGCAAATAGATAAATAGGTACCACTCTGGCGGGAAGGTAAACGGCGTTTCCTTGCGCTGCTCTGGTTTCACCAGAAGCGGCTTAGTCATACTGGCCACATGACCCAGGGAAGCTGTCTGTGGACAAACACCGGCTCCCTCGGCCAGTAAAGCGAGATGAGCGCCACAACCCCAGAGTCTTCCACGACTGGACTTAACTGTCAGGGGTCCTTTACCTTTACCTTTACCTTTTTATAAAAATATAAGAAAAGCCTTGTTGGATCAAGTCAAAGGCCCATCCAGTCCAGCAGAGGTTTATGGGAAGCTGTGATGTTTTCAAGAATTTAATCTGCAAGGGTTCTCAGGGTATATACTTTTACAAATAGGAATGAGTCTGGAAAGGATTGTATCAGAACTTTCCACTTTACCACTTTTCAGCTGAGTTGCACATGCAAACTATATTGGTGTTGATACCCATCAGTGGGGAAGTATGAAAAGAAGTTGGTGCAGTGAAATGAAACAAAACTTGCACATAGGCTTGAATGGAGTCAGGATTAGTGCCTGACGAGCAGCTCAAAATGAGAATTGAAGGATGGATGCAGGGAGAAATCAACAGGCAATTAGAATAACTTAAAGATTTTAGAAAACAGTTCTTAGTAATTCATAATTATATTGATGAATAATGACAAATACTGAAAACAAATGCATTGTGCATAAAATTAATTATGTTAAAAGAATAGCTAATCTGTCTCTGTGTTGATAACATATAATTATGATGATGCTTTCTCACATGTTTTTAAATAATGTCATTTCAATTCATAATTCAGAGTAGGTATTTTGACATTTAATACATGTTGCAATTTATACAATATTTTCAATATAATTGCGCTGTGCCGCATTAAAGAATCACAGCCTACTCGGAGACGTTTCTTACCACCACATGAACATTAAAATAATAGTATGGAAGCCTATTATTCGCAGTGATAACCCATGGCAAGTTGACAACAGGGAATCACCTTCGCACAGAGAGAAACAGTGTTATTCATTCAGGTTCTTAGTTGATCGTTCTTTTTATTGTCCCAGTCGTACTTCGTACACAATGTTTGTGTGGATTTTTCAGAGGTTTGTGGACTGTAGCATCATCAAGATATCTGAGCCATAAAATTACACAACCCAAGGTTTGGCTTTTAAGA